GTGTAAGTTAGGATACCTGGATATAAAAAAAAAAAAAAAGATAGCACTAAATCAAAAATTGGGTACCCGGTTTTGGTACAAAAAAAATTTCTTGACCAAACATAGGCTTAGCTTTCAAGAAGTTTAAAAAAATGTCTTGAAAACTTCTTCTTCTTTTTTTTTTAAAAAAAATTTTCTAGGCTCTTATACATACACTTAATTAAGAATTTATCGATATTGTAAAAAATAAAAATTAGAAAAAAAATCCTCCCCTTGCATTGAGAATCCAATATTAACTCGAATTCATATAATCAAATATGAAATGTCCAAATAAGTTTAATTTATGTATCGATGTAACACAATATATATTGTTTTGTATAAACATGGTTTAACATTATAAATTAGCTTTTCTTTTTGTATTGTGAATGAAAAGGTCTAAGAAGTCCTTGAATTGTATATGAGACTTCAGTTGCTATAGAATTAGACAAAACTCTCGAATTGAACAGATCGAATTGGACTATGTCCAATCCTAACCAACTAACAAATTAGCTCAAGCTTGCACTCCACGTCATTGACCTACCTGGTCTAACCAATGCCCGTCGAACATAAGTAGTTAAAGTTATGATATTACCTCAGTCAAAATGTCATGTAGAGATTGACCTTCCACAACCAAGACGAAGTGCCACAATTTGAAGTAGCTCATTTCAAAGGCAGCTACCCTCTAAACCTACAAAAGCATGTTCTGATTGTGAATTGTTATAATTTCTTTGATTGTATTATTTTAATTATAGAAAAAATATATTTAAAAATTCAAAGATTATTTATTTATAATTCAAATAATCTCTTTGCAGCAAACATTTCTCAATCAGCTTGTTAGTCTACTTTTCAAATGTCAAACCTGAGATATAGGGTGACCGATTTTCGAATAATTGAATTTTCTCTGAACGTGGACTACAAAAGTAACACTTAGAAAAACATGCATCGACCTTTAGGATAAAGTAACAAGTCTTTTATGCAACGGTAACCGCTTCTTCTCTTGTATTATAAAAGTTACACTCAATGCAACTTTACACTCTTAGCCTCTATTTGAGACACATGAAATTTTCATTCTCATTTTTCTACTCATTTTCAATCACATATTGTTCAATAAAATAACATTTTTCATCATATCAATAACTTTTCCTTCTTTTTCAACTACACATTCTCCATCAATCTACTATTCCAAAATATATTCTTCCAAAATAATGTGGTTTAAACACACCCTTAATTGTAATATGACTCACTCTTATTATTTTTCCTCTGTACAACTCGATTCTCATACATCTACTTGTGACTTGTATATATTCCATTCATCTCACACTCAAATATATATGTGAATTGACTTTTCATCGGAGTGCTTGAAGTTGTCTCCTCTACCATCGAAGAGGGTTAGATGTTTCTACCATTTTGTTCAAGTATATCTTCTATATATTAAAAGTGGCTATGTAACGGAATTTCTTGTTTTTAACGGAAAAACTAACGGAATTTGTTGTTTTGACGGATTATGTAACGGAATTTCTTGTTTTAAACAGGCAGCTGCACCTTCTTTCAATATTTTTATCATAACTTTGTATTCCGATATTCGATTGAGGCGATTCAAAATGAATTGGAAAGCTAACCTATCTG